TAATAATCCCTCCAAAAAAAAAACAATAATAAATTGGTCATTTTCAATCCATGACTGTTTGTGGGACACTGCTGTGCGCAATTGGCTGCCGCGTTCGCTCATAAATATACAGTCAATTCACTTTACAGTATATTCTGTGAAGCGCTTTGGGACGTCTAGAAGACGTGAAAAGCGCTATATCAAATGCAAGGATTATTATTATTATTATTATAATATCTCAGAGCACCTCACAAAGTTGGACCCCAAGCAAGGGAGTAGGGAGTGGGGAAGGGAAGATGACCTTAGACAACAATACCAACAACAACAAATTACATTTGTATAGTGTCTTTCATGTTGGGAGGACGTCCCAAGGCACTGGACAGTCAGGGGTTTGGACTCAATTTTCCACAATTCTGCACAATTTAGCTGGTTAAGCAGTCAGGCAGCTTCCCAGACTGTGTTCACAATGGTAAGCTGCACACTTTTAACTGTTTATTTGTTAAAACAAAATGGTCTCACAGGCTAAGTCTCGGTGGGATGTTGAGCCTATCGTCCCTACATAACTGATAATGTTTGTCTTGCTGGGGGGAGAGAGAGAGAGTAGATATAAACAAACATTTCTATGTTATTGATGCATTTGCAGCACGTTCGCAAAGTGTCAGGCAAACATTTAAAGGCATTCCTTGTAAAGTGCATGGATTCTGCCTGGTGGGTCAGACATCATTTGTCCACTAACTGTTCGTTAGCTGTATTCATCCTCAATACTGGCCATGAGGAGTTCTTCAGAATAATCATAAAGAACTGGAGTGGAGTTTGGTGACAGGTTTTTCTCACTGTGAAATCTGGGGAAAAAAAGAACACATCTGTAAATGTACATCAGTGGTTATAAATTGTGCCTATTTCTTAACAGTTAGGATTTTTTCCACTGTGTGTGACAAATGTGATATCTTAAAAACAACATTGACTAAAGTTACAATCAAACCAGACAATAATTACCTTCTGCGGGACATACTTTCCCAAATGAAGCCAACACCCTGTGAAGTGGCAGTCACGATACTTTGGCAACAACGATGGTGATATCCATAACCGTAGATCCATAATCACCTTGTCGTTGAGTATTGTGTTAACATTACCACTATAGCATTCAATCTGCCTTTAGAGAATTTTTATACACTAGCAACTATTATAATGCAGTAAGTTGTGGTCTGTAAAATCCTGACCAGCCTTATAATGGAGTACGATCGCTAGTCAGCGCTTTTGCATTCACCGTGCATGTGAGCAAAAAGCCAGCCGGCTACCAGTGCTAAAATTAGTTGACTTACTTATCATCAGGTTGACATCCTGTGTGTTATGACCTGCTGACCTGCAAGTTGCCATATTTTAGTGTGCGGGAAACCAGCTGATTTATGCAACTAAACCAGCTTTGAGTCCACAGGACACCCACCTATAACCAAACCAGCAGTACAAAGGGGCACTTTATAACAAGGTTCTATTGCCTCAATTTTATCGATTTTATTTTACTCTGAACTATTGTAACTGAAGAGGACACTTTAACATTTTGCAACCTTTATGTGATGCGTCTCCATAACCCAGAAGTGTGGGTTAAATTCAGGAATTCTAGGTGGCAAATCCCAATTTTTAAAGCTTAACAGCCAGCTGCTGTAATTTCCATTAGTCCCCTGATATTTTAGCATACAAACATAATTTACACTTTTGTAACACTCACTGCCATTAAAAATTTAGGTTCCTCTTTTGCCGCCTACTATGCAATGTTTAATTCATAACACGTTTTGGAGCATAAATCATATTGTGTAATGAGTCAGTAAGTTACTGTTCTCAAGGGAATGGACTCTAGGCTCTCTGGTGAGTCAATGGAGTGAGGAACAATTTCCAGTGCCTCCGTCTAAAATAAACTATTTAACCTTCTATACTCTCAAATGGTATAAAAGAAAACTTGAATTTTTATAGCACTTATTATGTTGAAATGTCTCATAATGTTTCACAGGTAGTTACTGCCAAGTGTAGTGACTGATTTTACAGAGCAACTTTAGTTCAGTTGGTTGCAACTGTTGTGGGTCAAAGCTTGATGTGGAGACTTGAGCTGAATGTCTAAGATGACACTTTAGTGCACACTGTATTTTCAGAGGTTCCATTCTTTTGATGTTATAGATGTTAAACCCAGGCCCCCATCTGATGTTAAAAAATCCCATGACTAGTTTGTCCAAACATACTATAACAGTAACTACATTTACTGAAAGTAATTCAAAAGATCTTGGCTAAGCCATATTACACATACAAAGGTTTTATGAACAGCCATAAGGTGAGTGATCAATTTATCTGGGAGAATGTTGGCCAGGACCCAGGAGAAACTCTTTTCTCTTTTTGAATAACGCCCATCTGAAAGGCACTTGGAATCTCAGCATAACATCTGATCTGAATGCGCCTCAGCCTGAGATACTTATATACAACTTACCCACTCGCCATGTTGTTGTTCTTTATGTCTTGCGTAGTGAGTAAATCCTGTAACATTAAAACACAAACAGGGATTAAATGAGGCATCAAATATTCCTAACATTCTTCGCTTATTCCTAAATACCCTAATAAACAATCAGAATAATTCTTGCATTTGTTGTAGTATCTTTTCACTTTGTGAAGATGTCTCAAAGCACTTCACAGGAATTACTGTGTATAACACTGAATTCTAGTGAATGTGTATATTTGTAGACAAACACAGCAGCCGATTTGCATCCAGCAATGTCTCACACAAACAGCCAAGCCATTAAATGAATGACCAATTTAATTTGGAGGATTTTTGGCCAGGACACTGGGAGAAACACCCTTCCCTTTTCAAATAGTGCCATGTCCATCTGTTCCATCTGAACAGGCAAACAGAACATTACAGCATCTCCCCAGCATGGCACTAGAGTGTATGAGTTCAAAGTCTCCAATTGGATCTTGAGCCCAAAACCATTTGCCTCAGAAGCGAAAGTGCTAATAATTGAGTCAGGCTGATAATTACCAACCCACTGAAGAATTACTGAAAATTGTTGAAGATAACTTGACCCCATGTCTGCAGATGATGTCACCAAGAGGGAGCATATAGATATTGAAAAGGAGGGGACCAAGGACAGAGCCCTGAGGAACACCACACAAGACGGTGTGAGAGCTAGAGGAGAAGCCATTTGTGGAGATGAAGTGGAGACAGTGTGAGAGGTAGGATCTGAACCACTCAAGGACAGAACCATGAAAGTTGAGGTGAGAGGAGTAGTGGTAGAGGAGGATAGAGCATTCAATGGTATCGAAGGCAGCAGAGAGGTCAAGGAAGATGAGGAGGCAGAAAGAGCGATCCTATCACCCCCATCGTCGCCCGACTCCACTGGCTTCCCATCACACAGAGGATACAGTTCAAGATCCGTCAAAGCTCTCCATGGCCTCGGTCCCCCCTACCTCTGCAATCTCCTACCACCCTGCCCGCTCCCTCCGCTCAGCAGGCTCCAGCCTGCTTCATGTCCCCGCTTCACCCACCCTACCATTGGTGTGCGGGCCTCCTGCCACTGCCACCAGCCTCTGGAAGTCTATCCCGCAGTCCCTCTGCCTCACCCCCTCCCTTGCCTCCTTCAAGACCCATCTCAAGCCCCTCCTCTTCAACAGTGTCTTTGGTCACCCTCCTTTCCCCCTGCCCCTCCACTCTCCCTGATCCCGACCCCCAGCTCGGGTCCGAAACACTGATTGTCCAGCACCTTGGGATGCCCTCCTGATATGAAAGGCACTATACAAATGTAATTTTGTTGTTGTTGTTATTGTGGTGGTATTTCTTAACCAGGTTTCTTCGTGGAGTCCTGTAGCTTAGTGGTTAGAGCACTTGCCTCACAAGCGAGAGGACCTGGGTTTGATTCCCGGCAGGGCGAAACGTTGAGTAAGTTTCCTTACTCCACCTGTTTACCTAGCAGAAAGTAGGAACTCAGTTGTTAGTCGATTGGCAGATCACTTTTCCCGGGGTAAAAGACAGTTACAAATCACAATTGGAAGATTCAGGCCTTTAAAAGAAGTATTACAAATTAGAGACTTGATCTCTCTTTAGCATCATAGTAAATGTAGATGGTTTTGCTTCCAATTAGTAAGCCAGCCCTGCCTACAGAACAAGATAACAGAGAACCATCCAGTTGTCAACCACTGCCCAGGGTGTTGCCATTCTTACCACTGGTGTTGAAACTCAACCCAGGCTTTAATCTATAAAAAGCTTCCTTTCATCTCAGCCCAGTTTCCTGGCGCGAACACTCGGGAACTATGTATTTAATGTATGACTTTGTTCCAGGTAGTTGTTGGAGAGGAAATTACTTATATTGTAATATAAGTCATATACAGTGAGCATGACAGCACTCACTGCCAGGAAAAGCATCCAATTTTGCAAGTGCAATTGTACTAAATAATGTGCAATATTTTAAATATTCAAATCCTGCCTAAAGACCTTCCTTTTTGATCACGCTTCCAGTCACCTCCCCTCTCTCTCTCGCCCTGGCTCGTGGTCAGACTCCGCCACTGTGAAGTGCTCCGGTTTGCTACCTCGCGTGAACAGCGCTATATAAATGCAAGTTGTTATTGTTTGATAATGGAATTCTTCTTAATAAGGAATTCTGCTAGAAATACCATCAATCTCCATTCTAGATAAAATTCTAATAATAATCCTTATATTGATACAGTGCCTTTTGCGTCAGGACATCACAAAGCACTTCACAGGTTGTACTGTAAAGCATGGTGATAAGCCTTAAACCTTTACGGTTGGCCAAACAAATACATTTTCTTGATTGAATATTTCTTGATTTATGCCATAAATCGAACGTGGACTTACCTAGACTAGTGTGAATGTTTAGGGGGCCACTTCTGGCCCGGGGGCTACAGGCCGGACACCACTGCTGTAAAGTGTAATGACTTTGTATTTGTAGGAAAGCACAGCAGTCAACTTGAGCACACAGCAATATCCCTTAAACAGTGAGTGATCCATTTTATCTGGAAGATTATTGGCAGGACATTGGAGAAACTCACTTCTCTTTTTGAGGTTGTGCCTTGGGATGGCAACAGTGTGGAGCATGGCATACTTCCCATTAACAGAAGGATTCCTGATTTGTTTTTCTCGGATTGTATTTTAAGAAATCTGATTAATTAATACCACAAATTCGACCCCAATATCCTCAACAACTTTCAGCAACTCTTCAATGTGTAAATGAACATCCGAGAGTATTCACAAGGCACTAAGGGTATGTAGGTAATCTCATCGAAAAACATCAGCTCTCGCCCAAGTGGAATTTGTTAAGGAGAGGAACTCATTTCTGTCTCTTGCCCTGGTCAATCCTGTTACTGAAACATTTAACACTGACAATTTGTGTGAATTTGGCTTTTGTTTACTGATTTTATAGTGTTATGTTGCCAGGACTATAGAGGGATTTAATAACTACATAGGTTTTATACACTTTTATCCATAGATAAAAGTGCAAAGAGAACAATGATTTCCATAAAACATGTTAAATCGTTCACACTACTCGTCCAAATCCTAAAATTCCTCCCATTAATACACATCTGTTTCGCATCTTCAGTTTCCTTTTCTGGCTTCCAGTTCCTGAGCAGCTGGAATGAAGATATTAAAAAAAAACACATCAACACCCCAACACTTACTAAATATTCCAATTAATTGAACTGCAGTGGGTGTCATCAAAAGCTCTATTTCCTGTGCTGGCTCATCTGATCTCCAGAGAGAGACCACTGCAATTCATCCTAATGCCCCTGGGCTGGGGAGGGGAAAGAACAACAATTAATCTGGGATCCAGCTCCACTCTGATTAAATCCTTCAGGAATTTATGAAGGAGCCTAGGATTAGTTTTCCAGGAGGAGGAAAATGCAGATTTGTCCTCCAGAACATGTTGATATTTTGATACTGTTTGGTTCCAGTTCCAGGAATGTGGGTTAGACTACGACCATTTTAAAATCATGACTGGGAGATCCAGGATGAAGATTATGAGGAACATCTCATTCAGAGAGTGGATGAGAGGGTGAAATATTCTGCCACAGTCAGTTGTCGGTGAGATGTCTGAAAGAGCTTCACAGAATATACTGTAAAGTGAATTGACTGACATTTTGTGGGCGAAACGCGGCAGCCAATTGCACACAGCAGTGTCCCACAAACAGTCATGGATTGAAGTGACCAATTTTATTGTTTTGTTTTTTCTTAAGGGATTATTATTAGTAAGGAAACTTGGCCAAGGTTTCACCCTGCTGGGAATTGAACCCAGGTCTCTCGCTCTAACCACTGAGCTACAGGACTCCACAATATGGGAAAAAGCCAGGATATTGGACTAGGGATAAGGTCTAAGATGGATACTCGTGTGGAGTATAAGCACCAGCTGGACTGGATGGGCTGAATGGCCTGTTTCTGAGCTGTACTTCCTATGAATCTATGATCTACAAATGTATTTGCTAATGTTGCTTTTATATTCAGGATCCTGTGGCGCACACTATGATGCTGATTTAGAGGCAGTGCCGCTTATTGTGCACCCGCTACCCTTTCATTCACAGATTGTGCATCCCTACTTGGGGACATAGGTGTGCGTGGAATGAGGGGGGGGGGTGGGTGGGAGTAGGAGGCGGGCGGAGTCACTTGTGGCCCAATAACCCTAGAAATCACTGAACATGTGCATAAAAGCTGGAGGTTTATTTCCTAAAACAACAGTAGTGGAGACCAGGAGATATACCTGAATATCATATGATTCCCCCACATTCCTTTCCCCAGTTCTGTTACCCATATTCAAGGTAGGAATGCCCACAGTAATGCAAGCTAACCTAAAATTGTCTGCCTCATTAATGAAATTTAATAATCATAATAATGACTGAATGTTAACAAGATGGAAGCCATACTCATTGGCTCCCGTCAACGTCTTTTATCCTGCAGCTCTGACTCCCTCGACCTCCCCGGCTTATCCCTCAGACTTACCGAACCAGTGTGCCTGGGTGTCAGGTTCGACCCACAGCTGTCCTTCCTTCCCCACATCTTGTACCTGACCAGGACCACCTTCCTATACCCCCGCCACTTTGCCTTCCTTTGACCGTACCTTACTCCAACGCAACTAAAACACTCGGTCCTTACGTTCGTCACCTCCCGATTCGACTTCTCAAAAGCCCTCTTTGTTGGTCTCCTCAGCTCCACCATCACAGGATCCAGTTGATCCAAACTCCGCCACCCGCATATTCACCTATACTAAATTCCGCACCCCCATTACACCAGTTCCAGCCAGGCTCCACTTTCAAGATCCTCACGCTCGTTTTCACATCTCTTCATGCCCTGGCACTTCCACACCACTCTGACCTGCGTACCCCCCAACCCACAACCCGCTGACTCCGCTCTACTGGTTCCGGCCTTCTGCATGTCCCTCATGCCCTCCATTGGTGGCCGCGCTTTCAGCCACTATGAGCGAAAACTCTGGAACACTCTTCCTCTGTTCCTCTGCCTTGTCCCTTCCTTCCCCATCTGCAGGTCGTGGCTGAAGACCTTCCTATTTGATCGTCCCTAGGGCCACCGCCCTCAAGATTGGTGTCATGTTCCGCCACTGTTAAGCGCTCTGGGCACTACCCTGTGTGAGGGGTGCTATATAAATGCAAGTTGTTGTTGTAATAATAATAATTCTTGCAATTGGTAGAGTGCCTTGTCACATCATCGCGACATCTCAAAGTGCTTCACAAGAGTTACTATGAAGTGTAGTAACTCTATATTTGTCAGAAAACCTGCGGCATACAGGCAAATCCTCAACACAAGGCTTTAATGGGTTGGATGGTCCTAGCTGGACATGACCATCACATAATGGTCACAAGCCCCTTCTATTAGTACATTACTGCATTTGCATCAGTTATAACCTGTCTTTATTTTTACTTGAAATAAAGTATAAGCAATGAACACTAAAATCAACCATCTGAATTTATTTTAAAGCATTTTATTGCATCTACTCAAAGTTTCTGTGAAAATTAAGCCCTTAAAAATCCCAAAACATAATCAGGATTGATTCCTCAGTCTGTGCCTGTGACCTGCAAACTATGGCTGAGATTCAAACATCCGTCCTTGATTACTTTCTTAGCTTCTTTAAGTTATCATCCATGATCATTTCCCCAGGGCGATTCATACATAATTTTCAGACCTATTGATCAAGCGTTACAGGCCGCTACCCTGTGTGAACGATGCGATACAAATGCAAGTTGTTGTTGTTGATTATTATATTGATCCTATTGGACAATTTTCACCAGAGAAGTGAGTCTTGTCATTGATAAAGCATTTAGATTTGCAAATATTATGTCACTGCATTTGCCAGCAGGTACCCACGAAGTGCTTTGAGACATTCTGATATCATATATTAAATGGAAAAAATATTCTTATTTATTTAAGACTGTTTGCAGTGTTTTCAATCAAACTTGTGAATTAAAGGAACGTCACTTTAGCTATTTGTTATAAACACAGTTGGACTCCTAGAGGAGCGCCAATGAGACTGGGATTCTTGCCAATAACAGAAGGCAGAATTGTAAAGTATTAGGAAGATAACATTGGATCTTTAACCACAATCTCTAAACTACCATTGTAACCTTAAAATGGTCTCACGGCCCACTGATCACTCCATGTTGTGCTGCTTATACATGATACGTTTGCTTCATTTTAAATGTGGGTTTATTCCATCTTTGGCCAGCATTGTAACAGTCCCCGAAGGCAGTCCCTAACCCAAACCTAAGCCTAAAGGTTCTACATTTTTGATCCCTTAGAACCTTCACACAACAAAGATTAATAGTGGCGATAACATGACTGCAGGTTCAATTGAGAAAGAATCAACAATTGGACATTGTGTTATACCCAGCACACCCTATGTCTCTCGGCATCTCTACTTGGCATCTCAGCATATGCATATAACCACAGATATGTGTGAAATTTGTGGCATTTCACAATGTGTTACCACAAATTTACCCACAGTTTGAGGGTAGAAATTCGAAAAATCCATCTAGATCTAGATTTATTCTATTGATGTCGCAACTATTAATCCTTGTGTGTGAAGGGACCAAGGCATCAAAATACAGGTTTCACCCCACAAGATCACTAAAACAGAAATGGAAAAGATTCACAAAAATGTTTTTAATAAAGCATTTCTGGGAAAAAACAATTACATTTAAGAAAAACATGACTTGTCTCAATTATTTTGCAGTGTTCCTGACCTTCTTGATAATTGTTGAGATACTGGTTGAAACGAACAAGATGTTTGTTTAAGTTTTCAAACTTCTGGTGATTTACACTCCTTAAACAACAATCCTTCAGCTCCCCTCTCGACTCTCTAACCCCTCCTCGCTCCCTCCGCTCCTCGCTCCCTCCCTTCCCTCCCCTCACCCTGACCATTTCCCCCCTGCTTGGGTCCCGACCCAACTGTCCAGCACCTTGGGACGTCCTCCCAACATAAAAGGCGCACTATAAATACAATCTTGTTGTGAAATCAAATTTTCTTGGCAAACAACACACACGCAGAAAGTGTGGAATCGCAGTAAACCCTGAGTTGGACAAGGTTGTCTTAAGAGGCACAGAGGGGGAAAAATTCCACCTGGGTCTCAATTTACTCTATTTCTTTTACTTACTGTTTCAAAACATACAAAACTTGCCAAGTTGTTGAATTCAATCTTAACTTCGAAGTTGTTTTTCTGTAGTTCTTAAAACAACTTTGAGAAAGCCAGCTTCAAATTTAAGACTGTTTGAGAATATGTCAAATCCCAGATGTTCCGAAAGGCTACCTAAACAGAATAAGTCTAGAACAAGGGGAATTTTTACCTCGATCTCTGCCTTTTCCCTTGGTTTTAATAAGGCTAATGATCAGATATTCTGATGTTCTTGTAATAACTAGCTCCCAGACACGTTTCTATTTGAAACCGCCAACTTCTTATGTTTATCAAGAATATTAGCAAATGAAACCTGTTCTGCCTTTAAATAATAATAATAATCCTTAAATAACTCATAACCTCTGATAATGACCATTAGGTTGAGTAAAACAATCCAGCAGAAGGAGTAGATTTAAAAGCTAAAGCACAGGAGCAATTGAGTCCAACAACCAACTTGCATTTATATATTGAGTCCCCACAACCCAGCCATCCAATCTCCCAGGAGATTTTCTCCTTTGAATTCAGGCAAGATATTTACTCCCAACAAATTTTTTTTTAGAAAAAAAAACACTCACATGTCTTAGATTCTGCTGGTTCCAGTGATGGACGTTAAGGTTGGATCTGCCCAGAGATGTGGCCCAGACCTGGTGTGAACCTGGGTCAGTCTCTGGCCGCTTCTCCTGACATTGGGGAAGCTGAACCCTCCCTGGACCAAACAGCAGCTCAGCAGCTGTGTCCGGGCTGACCTTCCCCGCCAACATCTGGATCCTGGACATGGGATTCAAAGGAGACCCCTTGCAGTGGAATCCCGAGTTGCTCCAGGTGCAGGAGTTGGACCCAGAAGAGCATCTGGGATGCAGTTCTGTGTTGGGATGCAGCTCTGTGTTGGGATGCAGTTCTGTGTTGGGCTGCAGTTCTGTGTTGGGCTGCAGTTCTGTGTTGGGATGCGTCTGGCAGTCCCCCCACTCCAGCAGAGTCAAGTCCAGCTCTTCCCTGATCCCACCTTCATCAGGATCAGCAGCAAAGTCCGGCTCCTTCCCTTTGCTCTGGCCACAGCCTGTGCTCCCTTCCCGATCCTGGGAGTCAGTGTCCTTTTTCCTCCCCGCTTTCCCTCCCCTATTGTCTGACCGACCCTGTTTCCCGCTGACCCCCCGTGTCGGCTGGAGGCTAAAGGCTCCCTTTCCAGCTGAGCTCCCACCGCCACACTCGCCCCCGCCTCCCACCGACACCTTGTTCCACTTGCTGCTGCCGCTGCCCATTACTGCCGCTGGCTTTTGGGGAAGACTTTTAAAGGCGAGGGATCAAGTGGGATTCCTCACTTTCCGGACATACTTTCGCCTGGCGAAGTATTGCAATGCAACCAGGTCGCTCACTGTCCTCTCTGTGCAGTTGCGTGTGTGTGTGTGTTCTTCTCTCACTTTGAGGTTTTTCTGGTTAAATATTTAGCACAGCTCGTCACACTGTGTGCTCACCAATCCAGGCTATGGGTGGAACAAGTGGGATCAACCAATCCATCTCTCCCAGTAAACCCTCCCTGTTAATCTAACTGGACAGAAACTCACTATCAATGACAGATGTTTAACTGTTCCTGCAACCAAGTCATTCATTACACAGTAGTTTAAAAGGGCTGTTAGAAGCACCCCATCACTTGGGAAAATAGCTCAGATCTAGGTATTTGTTTGGGGGGGGCTTTAGATTTGGAAGAAGTTAGTTTTTTTTGCACCCCCTCAATTTATTTCCTAACATGTCTGACTTTATTGTCTCAGAGAGCACACACTCTCAAACCAATTGTGTGTATGTGTGTGTGTATGTGTGTCCTCTGAGACAATAAAGAGAACAATTCCACTTTAATAGAAAGAGAGAGAAATCTTCCTCAAATGGGTTTAAGTGGCGAGGGTGAATGCTCACAGTTTTCCAATTTGGTTGGAATTTCTAATTAGTGACTTGTAAATTTACATCTAATTGAGGAGTCATGCTGGTTAAAAAAATTTTGCTATATATACTGTATATAAATAATAATACAATAATAATATAATATATATCATCTTAAATTGGAAATAAGCATGGTATAAGCATGGCATTGGAAGCCAGCTTGGCTGATCAAATATCTACACATTACTGAAGAGTTAAACTGACAGTGAGAAATGTTGTCTGCTGTGACTGTACTGATATATCCCCAATTAGTTTGTGTGCATGATCTTCAGCAGAATAGATCAGAGTTTCACCAATGCAGTATACTACCATTTAAAACTATTTGCTTTAAAAAGTGTAATTTTAACCCTTCTCTTGTTTCTATGAATTTGATTATTATCAGCCCCCACCACCACCACCTCCCACCCTGCCAACCCCCACAGCAACCTCCACCAGTGACATTCTGTGCAGTCGTTATACTTTAATGGCTTTTATTAGCCTGATTTAAAAAGGGCTCCTTCTGCTTTGCTCGGGATCTGGATAGTAAATGATTGAAGTTTCTCTTTGTCAGGAGTTAAAGGGGAGCATTCCTTCCCTGGACGAAGGGCATCCCAGACATCAGTTGACAAAGCCTTTCATTCAGGCTTGTTTTTACAATGCTAAGGCAACAGCATCAGGAGATAAATCCCACCCTTGCTCCATCTTTTCAACTGCCTGAGACGTACGTCAATGAGTTGCTGCTGTTTGTAGACATTCCCATCTGAATGTACATAGACTTGACACAGTCAAATCTCCAGTGACCTTCCTCTCATGACGTACATGATGTACTCACCCCCATGTTACTTTCCCAGACAACTGGTTACACCAGGTAATGTGACCCTACCCCTCAATTTCAATGCCAGGAAGATCTTCAAAGCAACTATATAAGCAGCTCTTCAGATTTGCTGCCAGACCCTCAAGGTTGCATTATGTCACACGTTAGTTGATCAGTGATGTGCTGTAATGGCAGCGTGTCCTGTTCATCAGAACAGTAACTTTCTCCTTCTGATGAACAGAGCCAGTACATACTGGAATAATAATAATAATAATCCTTGCGTTTGATATAGCGCCTTAACAGTCACTACACTTTACAGTATATCCTGTGAAGCGCTTTGAGACATCTCAATGATGTATTAAGGCGCTATATCAAATGCAATATGTGATCATTTGTGGAAATAACAGAAACCATATTGCAGAGAGATCGATTCAGGAAGAGAATCAGAAGAGATAGGGAGTTGGAAAATGGAGTTGCAAACCATATTACAGCTTAATAATAATAATAATAATCCTTGCATTTGATATAGCGCTTTTCACGTCGGGAGGACGTCCCAAAGCGCTTCACAGAATATACTGTAAAGTGAATTGACTGTATATTTGTGGGCGAACGCGGCAGCCAATTGCGCACAGCAATGTCCCACAAACAGTCGTAGAATGAAAATGACCAATTTATTATTGTTTTGGGTTTTTTGGAGGGATTATTATTAGGTGTGTGGAGTAAGGAAACTTGCCCAAGGTTCCGCCCTGACCTGCCTGGAATTGAACTCAGGTCTCTCGCTTGCAAAGCGAGTGCTCTAACCACTGAGCTACAGGACTCCTGTAGCTTCTAATGAAGGAAGATCAAGACAAAGATTTTGACAACTGTCAACATCGTTATCGATGCTCATCAGCTGGCAACAGTACCGCAGTACCTTTCGATGATCAAATGGGCAGCAGTACCTGAATACCCTTTGGTGTACATTAAATTAGACATTAAATTGAACTTTACTCTTCTATCGCTTTCGCGACATTTGGTTTGGTCAACGTTAATCATTGTGAACTGTACGTGGATACGTAAGCATTATTCTGTTGTCTTCTTTTAACTAACCATTATTAATCTGAATTAATAAACATCATTTTTTATATAAGATTTGTATAGTCTTTACTTCACCACAGGGTTAAATTGGATTTTTTGCAAGGATTATAATTCTAGCACCTTATCACGTCATTGAGACGGCTCAAAGTGCTTCACAGAATATATTGTAAAGTAGATTGACTGTATTTTGTGGGCGAAATATGGCAGCCAATTGAGCACAGCAATGACTCACAAATGTGGATTGAGTGACCAATTTATTTATTATTATTTTTATATATAACACTATAAGAATTCTCTTCAGCTCACCTCTGGCTCCCACTTTATCAACCTTCCCAGCTCATGGAACCAGCGTTCAGGCTTGACAACTCTTAAATTGCCAAGACTGCAGATTGGTTCCATGAGCTGAGAGTTCCATGCATCCCATCTATAGATGGAAATTCCTGCTTTGAATGGAATGTGCACTCATTTCCGAATGGATGGTTCCTGCTTACCTAATTCCAGAGTTTATTACATAGGTTTACATAAACTGTACAGCACGGAAATAGGCCATTTGGCCCGAGCAGTCCATGCCAGAGTTTATACTCTACATGTATCTTGGGGACCGCAGAGTGTGCTGGTAAGCTTCCCGGTGCTTGTCTATATCTAGGACCACCCTACCCATTAGAGCTTTGCATTGCAGGGTTAACGGGAGTTTAGTGGGAACAATCCCAGTTGCCCAGAGATTCAAAATTATTTCAGAGCTGGGAATGCAAATCAATCTCTGCTAAAACCTAAGTGAACCTTTCCAATTATTTTTTAGTTCAATCATTCAGTTTGTGCTGCAGCCACACCGTGTGTTCATTTGATTCTCCAACTATCTCCTGGAGATGCTGGCAGGAGTAGAACTCAAAAATGAATCAATGTCACTTAAAAATAAGTACTGTGGTACTACATGATAGACATCAATTTGATATGAAAACCACATAAAATCAATGCTGACTCTGTAGTAATGCCCTGACACAAGTTTGTGTAACAAACAATAATTTCAGAAAATGCAGTTAACATGCATGCTCAGTCAACCTTTCCTGTTCACACTTGATTTTGCATCTTTGAGATTGGCAGGTACCCAAGGTAAAGAACAGAGATTAGGGGGATGTGTGTACAAACTGTATGTTCCTGAAATTTACGTCAGATCCAAAACTTTCAAAGAAATTGTGATATCAATGTTCTATGAAGATATAGCCAACTACAACTCCTATTTACATCTAGGAAATTATTTGTTAATAACTGTGTGGTTATGCACCTCTGGCTGGAGAGCAACTGTGCATCAGAGGCACATCTGCCAAGTCCATGGTTCCAATTCCCAGTCTGCTCTGAGTTAGTTGAGATAGTTAGGTTGGCACCACCTTTACCCCTAGGGTTATAGGTTGGGGAGCGGCGGGGGTGGACGGGGATGTATCAGCCAGTTCCCACTGTTTACAATCTGATGATCCACCTTATAGATCACTTTGAGACATTCTTCTATGTGAAAGGCTCCATATAAGTGCAAATTGTTGTTGTTGTTGAGCCCTGCACGTATGAGAATATGAAACAAGGGAACTCTCTGGGTTACTCAGACACAAACACAAAACGATTAAGGGAGAAGCAGCTAAGGCACATCAATACGTGGCTTGAGAGTTGGCATAGAATTCCTAAGGTATTATAAGAGAGGCAAATTGAGACTTTAAACTAGATATTCTGGGGAAGATAAATATATAAGGGGTGGAGGAAATAAGATTATCAGAAATTATGTGAGGTGGGAAATTTAACAACTGTGAGGAAACCAAAGAGGAGGGGGAAGTACGGGAGAAATCAGTCAACAAAATGAATTGTCTTTATGCTAGTGCTAGGAGTATTATTACAAATGAAACACAGAAACTGGAAGCAAATCTAACTGGAGGGGAGAATAATATTACTAATCCTTGTATTTGATATAGCACCTTTTTGGCCGCCCCCCTTCCCCTTCCCTCCCTTCTTCCCCCCTGACCCCAGCTCGGGTCTGAAATGCTGTACTGTCCAGCGCCTTAGGACGTCCTCCTGACGTGAAAGGCGCTATACAAATGTAACCTTGTTGTTGTTGTTATCACATCATTGAGACGTCTCAAAGTGCTTCACAGAATATATTGCAAAGTGGATTGACTGTGTATTTTGTGAGTGAAACATATACAGTATTAGCAATTACAGAGATCTAACAAGATCACACAAGCAATTCTGAGAGGTTTAGATGAAGGTCTTTTGGTTCATTTGATCCCATTCATTCAGAATACCAGCCCAACCATCCTTCAATTACAGCATGAAACTTTTTCTGGAATGAGTCTAAATGGGAGTATTCAGCAGGTAGAATTATTATGGATAGAACTAAGGAATTGGAAAAAGCACAAAGCATGAGTTGGAGTCATTTTTGTGGATCTCCTTACAATAAGGGCTTAACAGAGGAAAGAATCTAGTCTTTGCAAATCAAGAAAACCCGTAAGGAGAAAAATATAATAATGATGGGAGATTTTAACTTGTGTTTAGAATCAACAAATACCAAGCCTTTTCAATGGCTCACTGAACAGTAG